ATTTTCGCTATAGGGCACATGCGCTCGCCAGACAGAGACAGACAGAGAGACAGAAAGTGAGAAATCACCCCCCAGGGGGGGATGGTCACGCCACAATCCCTTCTCCTCCATTCTCCTCGGGATCTTGGGCACGCACACACACACGCCCGGCGTGAGTTTTAAGCCACCGGGTTCGGGACGCGAACCGCAGTCGACTACGTGGGAGTCCAGCGACATAGCCATTATGCCAACTGCTGGTTCCTCCTTTTTTCTTTTTTTTTGAAGTTTGTTTCTTTCATTAGAAAGATATAGATAGGCATCCCTAGCCGTGTCTTCATGCCACAGTCCACTCTCCACCCTCAGCTCTCTTGGACCATGGGGCACATGAATATGTCTGGTTTGTACAGGAAGGCCTTGGGGTGTAAACTCAGGACCTCCCATTCAGCTCCAGTATGGGAGTGGTTGTGTCCCCTCTGCCTTTAAGGTAACTATCAAATCCTTAATGGTGTTAGTGGATTAGGTGGAGCACTGAAGAGTGTTGCTATCTGTCTGGTGTTGTTTCCATTATGATTTGATATGCAATAATAGACTTGTGAGGATGATATCCAGTAACACCTCTGAAAACACTCAGCATGGACCCTGAAACATAGTTGTTCAATGAACATTTTAGAATTTTCATTTAAATCTCACTGGATCTGACATGGGTATTAAAATGTTACAGGGAATGATTTAGCCACTTTCCATTGGCATTTTCCATGTGAGTACTAGATTGTGGATCATTCTTGTCTTTAGGCACCATTGTTATTTTATTGAGGAGCTAAGTTTCAAAGTAAATGCATTGTTAAACACATACCTGACATCGTTCCTCTTGGTCCTACCTTTGTTGCCTTTGCAGTTGTTTTTACAAGTCTTATTCTCAGGATACTCACGCCGGATGCGTGTGTGTGTACCCAAGATCCTGAGAGGAGAATGGAGGAGAAGGGATTGTGGCGTGGCAATCCCCCCGGGGGGTGATTTCTCACTTTCTGTCTCTCTGTCTCTGTCTCTGTCTGTCTGGCGAGCGCACGTTCCCTATAGCAAAAACCTCTCCAAAAAACCCAAACATATGGTATATTGAGGTCAGCAGATGGCATTGTGGTTGTGGTACTTAACTCTCACATGGCATACCATGGTTCGAGTTCCAGACCCAGCTGCTTGAAACTCACACCAGGCACGTGTGCATGCATGCATGTCCAAAATTCTGAGAATGGAGAAGAAGGGATTGCGGCTTGGCCCTCCCCCACTCTACTGGGGAGTGATTTCTCAATTTCTCTCTCTCTGTCTCCTTGGCAAATACATGCACCCTATAGCAAAAATCATTAAAAATAAATGAATAATAAGATCACATGTTGACAGAACCTTCTTATTTCATAAAGTATGACTGGGGGCTAGCAGATGGCGTGATGGTTAAGGTGCTGGACTCCTACATGGCTGATCATGGTTTGAGTCCGAGACCTGGTGGCTTGCTTTCTCTCTTTCTCTCTCTCTGTCTTTGGTAAAATTAAAACATAAATAGTGATAACAAATAAAATAAAATAAATCTTAAAAAAATAAAATAAAGAAGCTACGACTCTATTGAGGCTATTCTAAATTCCAGTCTCTCTTCTCCCACTATTTCTTTTCAAATGAACTTTTGAAAATTGGCACTTTAGGGGCTGGTAAGTGCGTGGTGGTTAAGGGCACTGTACTTCCATACGCGGACCGCGGTTTGAGTCCCAGACCCAGCGGCTTGCTCTCTCACTTTCCCTCTTTTTCTATCTTACTCTGTCCCTCTCTGGTAAAATTAAAAATAAATAAATAAAGTTAAATTAAATTATTCTATTTTAAAAAGGCACTTTAGGGGCCAACAGGTGGTGTCTCTTTCTGGGGAATACATGCCTCTACTGGCAAAAATTAACAAAAATAAATAAATAAAATAAAGGAAAGGCACTTTAAACTTGTTTAATTTTTTAAAAAACCTTTGTATTTGTACATCTTTCTTTCTACAGAGGGCATCACGGTCTGTGGATGAATGACTAGCTTAAGCAAGGCTAAGAGTTCGGTCCTGCCACTGAACAATCACTCTATCCTGTTTGTAGCCAGAAATTACTAACCAGCTCTTTGACAATTATGGCATGATTATATCCCTCAGTCTGTGTGCTTTATACACATTAAATGTACAGAACATGGGTGGGCTTTAAGAACAGGAGGAATGAAATAATTTGGGATATGTTATTCCTTCTGTTCCACTTCAAGTATGACTCTTTATCTCCCATACCAGGGTATGAATTGTCTCCAACAGCAGCAGCTAATTTCACACGCCGAAACCTGGCTGACTGTCTTCGGAGTAGGGTAAGCAATATACCAGGCAGCCCTAGATAAGAGTGGAAAATGTTCTGTGCTTCTTTTATATCCCTGTTAGACAGGGGTAGAATTTTTGCCCTGTCGGACCTTCCTGAGCCCGTCCCATTGCTACTCATTCATTCTTCAGTTCCTTTGAGTTTATTTTCTCTTACTGTATTGTTGCTAATTAAGACCAGGAGGCAAATACACATTTCCGAAGAATTTCGTTGAGGGCCTAGGACCATGAAGGCCTGCAACCTTTTTATTTCTTTCTCTGAAGACTTTCTTAGAGCAGTTTTAGGTTCACAGGAAAGTATAAAGATTTCTCATGTACTCCTTCCCCATGCACATGTATGACATTCCTTATCAACAGCTGCCCCCCAGAGTGGTACCTTTGTCACACTCGATAAACCTATGCGTCACAGTCACCCTAAACCCATAGTTTATGTTAGGGTTAGGACTCTTGGTCTTGTATATTTTGTGGGTTTGGACAAACATCTAATGAGATGTGTCCATCAGTATAGTATCATGGAATATTTTCACAGCTCTAAAAATCCTTTTCACTCTGCCTGTTCACCACCCCCTGCCCCAACCCTGGCAGCCACTGATCATTTCAATGTCTCCATAGTTTTGCCTTTTCCAGAAGGTCAAGGTTATGCCGTTGGAATTTGCAGTATATTTCAGATTGGCTTCTTTCACATAGTCATATGTATTGATGTTTCCCCTTGTTTTTTCATAGTTGATAACTCATTTCTTATTTATTTAATGTCAAGGGTCATGTGCATGTGAGGGGGGCAGAGATGGGGGGGAAGAGGAAGGAAAAGTACCTCTTATCGGAACCTGGCCATGCCACAATTTCCTTTCCTCCATTTTTTTTTTTTTTTTTTTAAATTTTTAAAGTTTCCCAGAGGATTGATGTTTCCCCTTGTTTTTTCATAGTTGATAACTCATTTCTTATTTATTTAATGTCAAGGGTCATGTGCATGTGAGGGGGGCAGAGATGGGGGGGAAGAGGAAGGAAAAGTACCTCTTATCGGAACCTGGCCATGCCACAATTTCCTTTCCTCCATTTTTTTTTTTTTTTTTTTAAATTTTTAAAGTTTCCCAGAGGACCCATGTGTTTTTTTTTTTTTTTTTAATTTTTAAAATTTCCCAGAGTACCCATGTGCTTGCTGGGGAGAGACAGAAAAATGAGAAAGCAACCCCCATCGGGGGTGATCACGCTATGATCCCTTCTCCATTTTTCTCTTCTTTTGGGATTTTGGGCATACACACACACACATACCTGGTAAGTTTTTGAAGCCTCTGGGACTGGAATTCAAACTGTAGTTGGCCATGTGTTAACTGGCTACGTCCATACGGTGCTTTAACCACTGTGCTACAAGGTGGCCTAACGCATTTCTTTTTAGTGCTAAGTAATAGTAATAGTCCATTGGCTAGAAGTACCAGTTTACTTATGTGTTCACCTTTTTTTTTCTTTTGGAGAGATTTTTGCTATAGGGCGTGTATGCTTGCCGGAAAGAGAGAGACAGAAAACGAGAAATCACCCTCCAGGGGAGGCAATCCCTTCTTCTCCATTCTCCTCTCAGGATCTTGGGCACATACACACGCGCACCCGGTGTGAGTTTAACCCACTGGGTCTGGAACTTGAACTGCAGTCGTCTACATGGGAGTCTAGTGATAGAGCCATTACGCTAACTGCTGGTCCCATATTTATTCACCTTTTGAGGAACATCTTGGTTGCTTCCAAATTTTGGCAATTATGAATAAAATTTTTAACCCTTTTGTTTCAATATCCATAGAGCTTGAGTGTTGGGTCATGAAGTAAGAAAATGTTTAGTTTTGTAAGAAACTGCCAAAAATTTTTCAAAGTGTGTTTATAGTAGACTTTATTATTTAATTCTTGTGGCTGAATGTCCTTACATGGTAGAGGAAATAAAATCTTGAAAGCAATAATGTAGATTTTCAACTTGAGGTTATTTATCTGTTTCTTCATACAGCTGTTTTTGGCAAAGCATACAGAATTGTTCCACTTTATTTATTCTGGCTTATTGCTACCTTAGAGCTCTCTCAGTTTCATTGAGTGAGCGTTCAAAGATGGCAACGTTAAGGATTGAATGCATTAAAGATTGTGTAGGATGTGCCCGGAAACTTCTTATGACTGTTGGAAGTGCATATTATTCCCTTCCCAGGGGACTAAGTAAACAGAGCCTTTCCATGTGACCTGACCCCCGTGCCTGTTTACTCATCTATGAAATCAAGATAACTTCTTAACCCCACAGGAGTGCTAGGAAAATGAATGCTTGTAAATCATAATATTTAACATTCATATGACTCTTGCCCAAAGCATTTTGCTTAATAATTTAATCTACTCACTGTTCCGCTGAGACTGATAGTAGTTAACTCCCCATTGCTGATACGGTGTGGAGGGTGTAAAGTGGCAGGTCACACCGCAGATCAGGTGAAGCTACAACAATGGTGCTAAAGACATTTGAATGTTCTACCTTAAGGTCAGCTCCTTGGCCTTTCGGTAGTGTTTCTAGAACACTGATGCTGTTTATGGTTTTTTTTTTTTTTTTTTTTTTATTCTTTTTTTTTTTTTTTTTTTTTTAATAGATTTTTGCTATGGGGCATGTGTGCTTGCTGGAGAGACAGCAACAGAGAGACAGAAAGTGAGAAATCACCACTGGGGGGATGGCTATGCTGCAATCCCTTCTCCTCCATTCTCCTCTTAGGATTTTGGACACACAGGCACATATGCCTGGTGTAAGTTTCAAACCTCCAGATCCAGGACTCAAACCACGGTCAACCATGTGGGAGCCCAGTGAAATAATCATTATGCCATCTGCTGGTCCCTTTATTACGGCTTTAGTTTCATCTGCACTTGCTGAGACTGAATTATTAATAGAGTCTGAATAAGCACAGGTATTTTTAATATGTTCCTATAGATATTTAAAGCAGTTTATTTTCTAGTGCCTAATAATACTGGACTGAGAGCTTCTCTTTAAGTAGAATCTCTCTCAACTGGCTTTTGAACCAAGGGTTTGTGCATTCTGAAGGATCACGTAGGTTGAAAAGAAGCTAGAAGGGTTGGGAGGAGGAGACAGATTGACAGACATCCTTTTGATCTGGGTGAAAGGTCACTCCTTGCTCACTCCTCTAGAGAAGAAAATGGGTCATATACTAGCTTTCCTGTCACCCAGAAGTTCCTGTGGCAGTCAGCAAAGAGTATGCTGTGGCTTGCCATAGTAAATGTTCCTCTAACATATCAGGCAGAACTGGAATGAGAATTCCGGCTTTGCTTGGGCATGGTAAATGCTTTGTCATAAACACTGCAGACACTGAGTGAATTAAGCTTCTTTTAGAATTGAGATAAGAGTGGTAATGTGCTTCATGCAAATGCAGCGAATCCAGTTAATCTCCTAGCAGAAATGTTTGATGTTTTAACAAATAAATATCCCTTGTAGATAGTGACAGGAGCCTAGTAAACACTGACTACCTCTGCCTTGGGCTTTAGCACAGGTCCAATCCCTGCTCCCCCACCTCCTTATCAGAATACTCTTAGTTCTGAAACTCGAATTTATCATTTAGTCATTTTATGCGATAGAGGTGACAATGGTTTGTCAGTCTTCTAGTAAGTGCAAAGTCACAAAGTTTGTCACGTTTACATGGTCACACCAGTTGACATGTGAGGCTCTAGGTCTCAACCAGTGTACTTTGCATAACTTTGTATCTAGTTCAGATTATTTGATTTTCAGTCCGTTGATATGTAGGTGTTGGAAGAGAATGCTGGGTTGGGATGACATTTATTTACTACAGAATAATGTAAGTCAGCTTTTGTTTTTATGTCGTTCTTGCTGTTTGGTTAAAGAAACAATTTAACGGCTATAAGTTAACTTCCTATGGGAGATTTTTGTTGTTGGGCTGTTTTAGTTGAACTGATTTATAGTAAAGATGAAAATATTAAAAACATTACTGGTCGTGTGGGCCAGGTTGTGGTAAAGCAGTAATGCAACTGGACTCCATGGAAAAAATCCTGATTGGGGCCAGCAGGTGGCGTGGTGATTTGGGCGGCTGGACTCCCACATGGCTGACCACAGTTTGAGTCCCAGACCTGATAGCTTGCTTTCTCAATTGCCTTCTCTCTCAGTGTCTCTCTGGTCAACTTCCAAAAAATAAAAAATAAAATAATGTTAAAGAGCAAAATTTAAAAAAAAGAAAAGAGAAAGTCCTGATTCACATCCCAGGACTTCCCTGAGCTGCTGGACTGTGCCTGTCCTATGATCTGGACTCCCCTGAGCTGCTGGACTGTGCCTGTCCTATGATCTGGACTTCCCTCAGGTTGTTGGACTGTGCCTGTCCCATGATCTGGACTTCCCTGAGGTTGTTGGACTGTGCTTGTCCTATGATCTGGACTCCCCTGAGCTGCTGGACTGTGCCTGTCCTATGATCTGGACTCCCCTGAGCTGTTGGACTGTGCCTGTCCTATGATCTGGACTTCCCTGAGGTTCTTGGACTGTGCTTGTCCTATGATCTGCGCTCCCCGACACTGGGGCGAGCCACAGCTCAGGGTCTTTATCAGGGTAGGGTGCCTGTTCTCTGCATGTATGTGTCTCTTTTTCTCTTTCACAAGACTTTTTTTTTTCTTTTTTAAAGAATTATGTGTATTTAATTTTATTATCATTATTATTTAATTTTGACCAGAGAGAGATCGAAGAAGAGAAAGTGAGAAAGCAAGCCGCCTGGTCCAGGGCTTGAACTGTGGTCAGCTATGTGGGAGTCCAGCACCTTAACCACCATGCCACCTGCTGATCCTCAGAAGAAATTTAAAGTTACTGGTATTGGGACCAGCCCATGGCATGGTGGTTAAGACTCATGTGGCTGACCATGGTTTGAGTCCTGGGAGAGAGATCGAAGAAGAGAAAGTGAGAAAGCAAGCCGCCTGGTCCAGGGCTTGAACTGTGGTCAGCTATGTGGGAGTCCAGCACCTTAACCACCATGCCACCTGC